CAGGCGTGAGCCACCGCGCCCGGCCCAAAAAAGGCTTATTTTGGGTAGATTAGATAGAAATTGGAAATACTGTTTGGCAGAGCAGTTGTGTAATTTATCAACTCAAGCTGTAGAAGATACTGGAAAATAAAAAGTTTTTGGCATAAATACTATACAAGGTAGCAATCTTTACAGCCACCAGACATCTTGTAGACATGAAAGACCAATGCATTTTGGGGAGTTGGAAGCAGTTTTCTTCCTTTCCCTTGTTGGTAAGGGTACTTTCGGATACACTTACTGTTTCTTTGCAAACTGTCATGTCATTCCCCAAGCCAACCCGAGCTCATGCAAGGTCTTATTGTTTCATTAGGGGGAGAACGAATGGCTCCAAGACCACTGCATGCAAGTCGGGGACGCCTACCTGATTGTCTACTCCATCACAGACCGAGCGAGCTTTGAGAAGGCATCTGAGCTGCGAATCCAGCTCCGCAGGGCCCGGCAGACAGAGGACATTCCTATAATTTTGGTTGGCAACAAAAGCGACTTAGTGCGGTGCCGGGAAGTGTCTGTATCAGGTAAGAGGAGTGGTGCCAATACCATAGAAACAGTCTCTGGATCACATGCATTTTCCTTCAGACAGGTGTTCTTCCCTTCCTCTTTTAGGAGGCTGGAGCCAGGGACTTACTAAGATGCTTCACGGAGTTTCAGGTGTGCCCCTGCGACTCCTGCAGTCCTGGGAGGGCATCTCCATGCTGGTTGCTGCTCCCTTATCCATCTGCTCTCCCTGCAGGACTCCAATTTCCCCACCTCTAAGGGGTTTCCTGGAATTCCGGGGACTGAAAGTAGCATCTTCATGCAAGAAGGATGGGGAACTCTGATTTAGGGGAATTGTGAGTTTCACTGAGAAAATGAATTCTGCTCTGGCCGCCTCTGGCCCCTGTAAACCCTAGAAACGCCCCCAACCCCTGATCCCCTGCTTCCAAAATTTCAGTTAAGGCGTCAGTCTGATGGTGTCACATACCTTCATACCCAGTTCAGGGATAATTCCTGTTGGTTGAGTGCACGCCCACCCAAGTGCTTTTAGAGCCTTGAGATTTTGTTGGCCTAATACAGATTTGGTCCCTGGTAAAATTACAAAAATTAGCTACTGCATTGCCAGGCCCCACTCAGGAGGAGAGACGTGATAAAGACAGTGTGCACAAGCAGTTTGGGAATGTCGTGCTACTAGGACATGACTGTCTATGGTAATTCTATTTATCCAAACCTAAACTTGACCCATGGTCATTGAACACACTGAAATAACTGACATTGAGACTGTTTCAGAAAAGCTTTTGGATATAGTTTTCTATAACTGCATTCTACATTTGTGAGATTCTCAAATATCTCATCATAGCTTTTTTTTTTTTTTTTTGTAAGGGAGGAAAGCCAAGTAGTAGAATTCTTATTTTCAATTTAGCAAACTGAATCAGGAGAAAGAGTTAAGAATATGGGCTTGAAAATCGAGCAGGCCGGATTCATTGCCACTTACAGGCTGTGTGACGTCCCTCCATGTTTTGAAAGATCCCACTCAGTTTCTTCACCCATTGATAGGGATAATAATGTATTTTCCAAGACTGTTGTGAGCGCTGAGAGCCATGTTTGTAAAAATTTAGCATAGTCTGCAGTAAATTAAGACTATGGTTTTTACTGTTATAATTAATATCACTATATTTGATGAAATTGGACCTGCAGACAGTAGACCTGATCCAAAGTCCATCTCTCTTGCTTCCAGGGGTCCTCCAGTGAGACTCTTTCCTTCTATTTACACCCTAGGAGGGCCTGTGCCATAGTGGCTTTCTCTGTCCATTGCACATAGGGTATAAAAAACCTTAGAGTTACCTCGAGGGATCACCCAGCTTGGCTGTGTGCTGCGCAGCTGTGCATGGTCATACTCTGCAGCCTCTCTGACTTCTCCCCTCCTTTGCTTTCCAGAAGGGAGAGCATGTGCTGTGGTGTTCGACTGCAAGTTCATCGAGACCTCTGCGGCTGTCCAGCACAACGTGAAAGAGCTGTTCGAGGGCATCGTGCGGCAGGTCCGCCTCCGGCGGGACAGCAAGGAGAAGAACGAGCGGCGGCTGGCTTACCAGAAGAGGAGGGAGAGCATCCCCAGGAAAGCCAGGCGCTTCTGGGGCAAGATTGTGGCCAAAAACAACAAGAATATGGCCTTCAAGCTCAAGTCCAAATCCTGCCATGACCTCTCTGTGCTCTAGGCACCCAGAGTCACGCAGATGTCCCCCCTAGTGGACATCGCTGATGGCCATTGGGACCGATAATCTATATTAGATTGGATACTTAAGTATTGTTAGATGTGGCTTCCCCCATTGCAGCTGGGAACTAATGTGTTAGCCTCATGGGCAACATGATGCATGAGAAATGAAAGATCTTTGTAAAAAGTCAGTATTTATTTACAGGAAACGCCTGACCTTACTACTTGAACACCCAAGACTCATTAGAGGATGTGTTTGGTGTTCACATGTGTTTCTTCTCTCCTTTGGTTGGCAGAGAATTGAAGCTTATGAAAGAATGCCTAGAACGAGAACTTTTCATCATTAAAATTTCGCCCAGTGTTCTGATATGTGACTTCAAGGCCGATGGGTCATAAACAAATACAGGACAGCTGACAAGGGGTTTATGCAAAGGAGGGAGGACTTTCTACATACCTTATACCTATGGAGCTAGAATCGTAGAACTGAACTCATCAAAATTGTGACTCTTATTGCTCCTTCTAACTGTGAAAAGAAATTGCTGGAAACTAAAGCTTAGCAAACAATTTTTGTTCAATGCCCACAGGGTCTTGTAGAATTGGGAACTGATACATGTACCACCTATAGGTTCAAAAATTGTAACTTTACCTATGTGTCTTACAGGTTTTTATTTAGGGGAAAATTATTTGAATCAAATTCTACTTAGTCAAACAACCTTTTATGTTTTATTATTTTTGCAGTCATGGAGCCATCATAAAAATATTTCTAAATCTGAATTTATTGATAGCCTGGAGTATAAAATGTCAATTTTAAAAATATAATCACAGTCCGAATTTTGATAAAACCCATAACATAGAAACTTCTAGTACTTTGGGTTGACCCTCGTATGCCACAGCTCTGCTCTATTTATTATTATTTTGCAAAATAATCATTTTAACATTTGATAAAGCGTATTTATGAACACATTTCTTAATAAGAAAAATGTCCATTTTATTACCATTTTCTATCTTTTTCAAAATATGCAAGTTTTTACCTATATGTCTTATAATAAAAGAAATAAAATCTTTGGGAAAAAAAGGCATTCTTAAATGTTTTTCCTCCCCAAACAAGGTGATGATGATTATTTTTATATATCTCTTAGAGCAAGCATGTTCTAAAGAGACATACCTATGATTCTATGTCTTGTTCTCTCTAGCAGTAGCCCAGTCGTTGTCTGTTTTAAAGGGTATTCCTGACACCTCTGCTTTGGAATCCTGATTCACAGAAATGCAAAGTTATTTCTGGCTGATACAGTTGGGAATTATTTGGGGTCACTGCAATGCTAAGTTACAGTAAAAGCCAGATCGACCTTTTCCTCTGGTCTGGCACATGCCTGACTGAACAGATGGGCCTCGCTCTGCTCCCTGGAGGCTCATGGCCTTAAGCTTGACTAAGGCATTAGAGGAAGTTATAAAGGATTAGGGAAAAATTAAAAAAAGGAAACTAGTGATTTCCAGCCTGAGATCTAGCCAGGCAAAGCTTTAGCCCAATTCTCCTCTGTGACGTTAATACAGTTTGACGTTAATCACGTGGCATCTATCCAGCGGCGGTGTGCAACCCTTTTGCTGGACTGGAACTTCCTGGTGTTCCCCTTTCGTATCTCCTCTGGCCCTGCATGCACCCTCCTTCACTCTCTCCTCCTATCTTTCTGGGTGTACTCAGATACACATTGATGGGGACAACTATAGGACCTCAGACATCGCTAAAAGAGATTTATTTTTTTAAAGAGATGGGGTCTCCCTCTGTCACCCAAGCTGGAGTGCAGTGGTGTCATCATAGCTCACTGCAGCCTCCAACTCCTGGGCTCAAGCAATGCTCCTGCCTCAGCCTCCCGAGTAGCTACTATGACTATGAGTGCTCACCACCACGCCCTGCTAATGTGACACAGTTTTAGTAGGTGTCTCTGCTCTGCTTTCTTGGCCCTTTCTCCCCCTTTTTCCAAGTTGAGAGCAAAGGTTACCATCTCTATGCACTTTGCATCTTTGCATTGCTCAAGGAAATAGTACAGGGAAGTGATAAGAGTAAAGATTCAGGTTACACAGGCCTGGGGTGAATCTTGGCTGTTCCATTTAGTATCAGTGGAGTAAAAGTTAAACATTTCCAGCCATCAGCTTTCTTATCTGCAAAATGGGGTTGCTAATAATATCCACTATATAAGGTTGTTGTAAGATTAATGTCTTTTCATCTGCCATATAGTAAAGAACTCAAGAAATGTTAGCTTTCTTTGTTGCACATCTCCCATTCTGTATAAATTAAGAGTTAGTTGTATATGTTTGCTTCCCTCAATTCGGGTGGAAACTCCTTCAAATCAGGAGCCACTGCTCTTTCCCCCATACCCCTCTGTTCTTCAGTGCAGTGTCCCTGCATGTATTGGGACTTCCTCACACAGACGCTCCTGATGTCTCCATGAGGTCAACAGGCATTTCGCAGCACACTAGTTCAGGAGGATGAACGACTTGTCCAAGTTTGTTCAGCTGTTAAGTGTCTGAGCTAGGACTGGAGTCAGTGTGGCTCCTGGTCATTTGCTTATTCTAGTCTCTCAAATTGTTTCCTATAAACACACCCAGCCCTTTCATTCCCATGTATCGCCCGATGCACAGCACGCACACGCAGAGCATGTGCACACCACATATACACGCAGCAAACACACAGCATGTAGAAGCCGCATGTGGACACGATCTTCATATTATTTTCTGTTCTCAGTCTCAATTTTCCTCACCACTTCTTTCAGAGCTTCCCAACCCAATGGCCACTAGATACCAAGCCTCCTGGCTTAAGGGTGTCATACCAAGATTCCCTGGGCTTGACTCCAGGCAGGCTGCATTCCAATCTGAGAGGCCTTTTGGTTAAGAGCTATAGCTCTGGAGTCAGACGGACCTGGTTCCAATCTGGTTTCATCACTTACTGGACGCCGCCAAAGGTAAGTTTCCTATTCTCCCCAAGCCTCAGTTTTCCCATCTGTAACATGGAGATAATAACAATGCCTACCTCATAGGGTTGTGGTAAGGATTACATGAGAACTGCAAAGTGTCAGTTATCGTGGCAGGGAGTGACTACCCTGTCCTAATGCGGCATTCACACCCACGTTTACTCGTGTTCTTCGGATATTATTGGGCACCTGGGCACTGACAGTGCCGGAATATAATGATGACTAAGATATTGTCCTTGTCCTCAGAGACCTTGAGAATAGTAAATTTGACTGTCCTGAAAAGCCACAGAAGGTGGCATTAGAGATAGGAAGGAAATGAAAAAAATTGTAGGAGGATTATACTGGGAAAGGTATAATCCTTGCTGCTATTAGATAAAATTCAAATGAAGGAAAAAAATTATTAAATGATTGGATTAGATGTAGAAAAGAAAATTAGACCATTTAAAAAATTCGATTTTGGGAAAGCAGGAGCATTAGAGAAAGGTTGGTTTTTAAGCATCCTACAGTTTTGCTTACTAATACATGAACTAGTCAATGCAGGGAAAAGGCAAACAATTATAAATTCACTTGGCCAAACTTACGGGGCTCCTGCTTATGCAAGGTGCCGTGGGGAATACACGGTGGGAGAAGGCTGTTTTGCCTTTAAGATGCTTATAATAATAGTGGGAGGAAGTAGACATGGTGGCGAATGAAGGCAACTGCACAAAAACCTAGATTATGATGTTGAAGATAATAAGGACCATCAGAGACACGTGCAGTAAGGCATTTGGGCTTGGGTGGGAGAAAGAATTCCTTGCTTGGCTGATGCAATCATGGAGGTCTTCTTGGAGGAAGTGATATTAAGCTTAACCTTGAAGACTACACAAGATTTCCACAGGCAGGGTTGGTTGAAGGGAAGAAAAAAGGAAAGATTGGTCTATATAAAGAACATAGCATGAGCAAAGACAGAGAGGCAGCAAAGGGAAAAAATATGTGCTGAAAAATGAGAGAAGTCCAATTTGGTGGGGAGGTTTCTGGTAGTTGTTAAGTGAAGTAGTTAAATGCATGATGCTTGATAGT